TGCGGATGTGAGTCAGGGGGTGGCGGGGTCGTCGGCAGTCTGCGAGGCCTCAAAGCAGCCCGCCGCAGGCGCCGATTGTTCTTCGCATTGCGCCAAAAGCCCGCCGAAGGGGCCGAATTTTCGTCAAAGCAACGTGGGTGGGTCGCGGGTGGGTCGCGGGCGGGTCGCTGGTGTTTCGCGGGTGGGTCGCGGCGTGGGTCGCGGGCGGGTCGCGGGGGCGTCGCGGGCAGGTCGCGGGCGGGTCGCGGGCGAGGACGACGACAACGACAACAATCATTTCGACGTACCAAGACTTTCCCTTGTGAAAAACAGCGTGCGAGCCCCAGGAGGGGCATTTCAATTGAAAAACGCAGGTGGGCACCGCGAAGGCGTAGCCGGGGCCCTGGTGCCAGCCGCGCGGTAGAGACAGGCCTGTTCCCCCCCCTTGCTGGGGTCTCGAGGGCAGCTGGGCTGCTGCGGGAGGAAAAGCGGTCCACAAGGGGGTGGCGCGACGGGGGTGGGCTTCTGAGAAGGCGACGGGGCATCTAAGAAGGCATGGGGGCGGCTTAGAAACCCGCCCGGCTTCGAAGAATACGCCTTCTCAGAAGCTTTTGGGGTCTTTCAAGAAGGTCCCCGTCTTCGAAGAAAACCATTGCTTTTGTAGAACCCCCCCCCGCCTTCTGCCACCCCCGCGTGCGCGCCGCCTAGAGAAACGGCGCTCTCCCACCACCCGCACTGCCCGTGTGCGGGCTCTGGCGCGCGACGGGATGGACAGCGCGGGGGCGGAGGATTTGGAGGGAAATGGGGATCAGCACGAGGACGCGTTCGTATGAACGTGATGATGGCGCTGCTGATGTTGAGGGTGAGGATGATATCGGTGAGGGTGGTGGTGGTGGTGATGATGGTGATGAGGGTGGTGGTGGTGGTGGTGGTAGTTTTGATGGTGAGGACGACGATGATGGCGATGCTGATGGTGATCCTGATGGTGATGGTGTTGATGGTGTTGGTGCTGATAATGACGATGATGATGATGATGATGATGATGATGATGATGATGATAATGCTGATGCTGATGATGATGATGATGATGATGATGATGCTGATGATGATGATGATGCTGAGGATGAGGATGAGGATGAGGATGAGGATGAGGATGAGGATGAGATGATGATGATGATGATGATGATGATGATGATGATGATGATGATGATGATGATGATGATGATGATGATGATGATGCTGCTGCTGCTGCTGATGATGATGATGATGATGATGATGATGATGATGGTGGTGGTGGTGGTGGTGGTGGTGATGATGATGATGATACTGCGGCTGACGATGAGGATGGTGACGATGCTGACGGAGATGATGCTGATGGTGATGCTGCTGCTGATGATGCTGATTATGCTGATTGTGCTGTTGATGATGCGAATTGTGACGGTGCTGGTGGTGACGAGCATAATGCTGCTGATGATGGTGGCAGCGATGGTTGTGATGACCTGTGGTGGTGCTGCTGTTGGCTGGTGGTGCTGAGGAGGAGGAGGAGGAGGAGGAGGAGGAGGAGGAGGGAGGGAGGAGGAGGAGGAGGAGGAGGAGGAGGAGGAGGAGGAGGAGGGAGGAGGAGGAGGAGGAGGAGGGAGGAGGAGGAGGAGGGAGGAGGAGGAGCAGGTCGGCGCGCAACCGCGAGCCTTGGCCCCCCCGCGCCGCCCGTCAGGCAGGCGGCCTGTCGTTGCAGATGCTGCTGCCCTCGGCGGGCCCCTCGGCCGTGCGGCCCGAGGACTTCGGGGGAGGGGAGCGCCGCCGCAGACTCGGTCTGAAGCTGCACCGCTCGCGCGCCGCACCTCGCTGTCGTGCCAAATTTGGCCCCGAATCTGGCCGTCGGTCGTGGCCGTCGGCTGCCCCGACCGCGTCTTGGAACAAGTCGCTGCTGACAATAAAAAGTGGAACACCTACGTCACCGGCGGGGGCGCGAAGATCAGCGCGTTTCGCGCGCCGCGGTCTGGGCCAGAGCGGCAGCCCTTCTCCAAGGGGGCGGCGCGAGGGCGTGAGGGCGCGAAGGTAATCGCGCCTCGCGCATCGCGGGGCGCGATGTGCGAAGTCGGGCGATCTAGGAACACCGTGGACTCCTCGCCCTGCGTCTTCGGGAAAAACTTTCGCTTGGCGTCCTCGCTTGCGCTGCGCGTCGCCTCGCATTCCTCCCCCGCGCCACCCGTCGCCTCCTTCCTCCAGGAATGTCGCCGAGGGGGAACCCCGTCAACGATCGCCAGGACAAAACAAAAACAACATATCCGCGACCATGCCACGAGGCCTCCGAGGGGCCCAGCTCCTGGGCCAATGATCTCGGCGGGCATCGGCTCCCCGCCGGGGCCAGGGGGCCACGTGCACTGAAGGCCCGGGGGCCCGCGGTGAGCCCGTGGGGACAGTTCGTGGCACCTGGGAGCGCGGGAGGGAGGGAGGGAGGGAGGGAGGGCGTGGACGGCGCTTCACTGAGAGCGCGGAGTTCGGGCGCCCCCGCCCTGGCACCACGCGCGCCAGCGCCCTGGCCATCTGCCGCCCGCGCGCCGACCTGGAGGTCGAGGTGGCGCGCCACGGCGCCCAGACGACGCTGGCCGCGCTGTGGGGCATGTCGCTCCGAGCGTTGGTCTGGGCCACTGGCGCGCAGCAGTGGCGGCGGAACGACGCGCACGACATCTGAGTGGAGGGAGTAGCACGCGTAGCAAGCGGTGTTGGTGGGACGGTCTGTGGCTGTGCGCGAGGGGCGGAAGGAGGGCGGTTGGTTGGACCCTTGCGGACCGAGTGTGTGCCCGCGGGCACGGTCTCTTTAGTATGACTGCCGGGCAGAAGGCGACACCGGAAGGCCCAAGCCTGACCCAGCCCCGGCCGTCGCTGGGCGACCAGGGAGGGGAGGAGTGGCTCCTGCGGGTCCCCACGACGGAACAGCTACGCAGCTACGCTGCGACCTCAAAGAGATCATCCCAGCATGAACCCACAGGTCGGTCGCCGAAACGCGGACCCAAGCCAGCTCCGTGGGTTCCAGAACGCCTTCATCACCAGACACCCCACAGAAGAACCCGCATCCCCAGGAAACCCGAGCGAGAGGGCCCTCGGGGAGGCCGGACTGGTCCGCTCCCAGGGCACGTGGGGCGATCGAAGTTAAGCACGCGAAAGGGGGAGGATGGAAAGAAGGATCCAGCGGAACTCGACGCAAGAGGCTCTGCTCGGTGCTGGCTTGGCGCGTGGCGGCGCGCGACGCAGGTGCCAGCCTGTGCAAGGATCGAGTCAGAGCCCCTCCACAGGCGGCAGCGTCAACCCAGCAGCGGCGACAGCGACGACGAGGACACGACCGCGACGAAAACATATGTGCGACGGCGACGACCGCAACGACGGAGGAGGAGCGAAGAGGAACGATCGAGAAGGAGCGAGGAAGAGGAGGAGTAGAAGAAGTAGGTATCCATAAGAAGATGCAGACGAGTATTAAGCAGGGGCAAGCATTACAACGACAACGAATCAAAATGATACGAAGACTGACCAGACGACTCACAACAATAATAACAAACATACGTTTTTGAAACTTATGAAGCAACAAACTAGTGATACATAAGAGAAGAGTAACGAGTATACGAATAATACAATTACGTCTAATCCATGAATACTACGAATACAGCTACTGATGTAATGAAATGTTAATAGGTTCAAACGGTTGCAGAACATTCTACTGCAATTGACAAGGGAGCATCATACGCCTCATAGAGTCATATGGGTAATACTAGGAATAATGCTACTAAAACAACAATGATAAGCATACGACTTACCAGTTCAACCACCTGATGCCAAAGAGCATATTTGGAGTCGTATTATGACGAATACCAGAATCACAATACGAACAAGAGCAACACTACGAACAATAGTCATAATGCGCAACCTACTACGACGAATACGGCTATTGGGAATACTCAGAATAATACGAATAGTTTTTGGAAGACGAGCAATACCAATAACATGGGCACTCATCATAATATGGAGAAGAAAGCAACATAGTAATCGTTATAGTATCAAGAACAGTAGACATAACCATCGTATTGCTAATCTTGATCATATTCGCAATCAGAGTAATGACACTAAGCATCGTTCTGAAGAGTAGTCATACACACATTCATACGAAGACGGGGCATACGAACAACATGACGATATGACTGAAATTCGCAAGCGTTCGAACAATAGCACGAATAAGTTTGTACTAGTTGGCATCAACATACTACTATAGCTTATTTGAATGTGTGAATATGAAATCATGAGTAGTATTACTACTATTGATAATACTAATTCGACTACCAACTTTAACCATCATACCAACACATCTAACACTAATGTTAATAACGATACTAATAATCATATTGATCACAATCATCACAAGACAGCTCGCCGCTTTGGCCCCAACGTCAGCCCAAACAGTGAGCATGAATCGGGCGTAGCCCCGCACCCATTCGAATGTCCACATTTCGTCCTCGTACTGCTCGTATTTCTCCCCGTCCGCGGCCCTGGCACCCGTCCACCTTTAGGACGGGTGGCCACCAGGGCAGGCGCATGAGAAGTTCGAGGCCCCCAGTTCCACCCCATCCTGAATTTCGTCGTCGTCCTCCTCCTCGTCTTCCTCGTCATCCTCCTTGTCATCCTCCTCGTCATCCTCGTCTTCCTGCTTCAGCTCCTCTACGTCGTCCTCGTCTAGGCCCTCGTCCTCGTTTCTCTTTGTCCACCTCCTGCTCATCCTCCTTCTCCTGGCACCTCGGTCCTCGACGCCCTCACCGGCCCGCTTGCGGTTCAAGACAGCGTTTCCCGGCGCTTATCGGTTGCATCATAGGTTGCGCCTTCGGCGGCTGAAAATGAAACCGTCTCCTATCGTTTGCGCCATAGGTTTCGCCCTCGGCGGCCGAGAATAAAGCCGCCTCCTATCGCTTGCGCCATAGATTGCGCCCTCGGCGGCCGAGAATAAAACCGTGTCCTATCAGTTGCGCCGTAGCGAGGGGACCCCCTTTTTACGAGGTCTTTTCTGCTCCCAGAGAACTCCTACGAGTTTCGATGCAGGAAAGGAGTCATTATGAACGCTCCCCTCGCCTTTTGCACTGTTGCGCCGCCTCTCCCCTCCAACAGAGGGCTGGCGGCGTTCGTATTAACTTGATTGTGTTTTTGCATTATGCTGTCAGAATAGAATTGCGCGCGCGCCCGCCCTCCCTCCGGTCGGCGGGCTGGCACGAGTACACATATACTATGACAGTAGATTTGTTTACCGGACACATCAGCGCTATGTCGACGTGGAGGGCCCCCATTATAAACCTGCCTCTGGATGTGAATCTTCCTGCTTTAGATACTACTCGGCAAACGTTGGTTATCAGCCGAAATGCTCACCACGAGGTCTCGCGACTGCGTCGCAAACCTCGCAGGTGCTGGGGCCAAACATGTACAGAAAGATGACGGAGCCGAACAAGTACAACAAAGGAATGAAAGGATCAGGGCCTGTATCTCCCGTGCGTCGACAAGGCGAACCTTATATGGGTGAAGTGAAACTCGCGGCGGCGTTCAGTTACTGTGTCATCGGCGCCGTGGTGGGTCCTCCGAACGATCTTCGCAGACCAGATTCCGTTGGCTTCAAGGGCTCGTTGTCGAGCTGGGGCGCGGGCTGCCGAGACGCCGCGGGCGGGTGATCCTGCGGAAGAGAAGACGCAGAGTAGCGCGGCACCTGGGGGCCTCCGCGGTCCCCGTTGCCGGCGTCAGTTCGGGTGGCGCTATCTCCGTATCTTCGGAGGCTGACGTATCGGTTAGGTCAGCGCCGCGTCTGCCTTGCGACGCGGAACTATCAGCCCTGCAGCGTTGGTTCGAGAATTTGTGATGTTGGGCCGACGCCCAGGGCTGGAAGCATAGGCGCGGGGCAAGAAAAACCCGCGGTTGCGGGTAACTGTGTTTCCGAAGCCTCTCACCCTGTTGCGCCCCCCGTTGCGGCGAGCGGCCGTGCCGCGACGTCAGAGCATGAAGGGGGAGATGTCCTCAGTGCTGGCGATGTTGTGCCGAAGGCGGTGGTGCCGGGGAACTCGAGAGGACCGGCGTATGAGCGGCCGCGACCGTCTTTTGCACCTCGTTGATGGGAAAGCGGTCTGAGGCTGATGGGGACCCCGATCAGGTGTTGTTGCGCAAGCCAGGGGGTGACGAGGGGAATCTCGTTCTCGATTCGCTGGGCCCTTCGACCCGCCCGAGCGAGCAATGCCGCGGAGAGAGTCTCGCGTGGAGTTCCGCTCGGCGGCCCGTCCCTCGCACTCGCCCCCGAGGGAGATTCGCGCCGACGGCGCGCAGTCGTGCTAATGGGGCCCTTTTTGGCGCTTCGATCTCGTCTGCTCGCGCTGCCAGATCAATCGCCTCGAGCATGCGGACCCAAAGGTCTCGTGCCAGCTTCGGGCCGAATTGTGCACGGCTCCCCGGGAGTTGCTGCCGTGGAAGCCGCGGCCGACGCTTGAAGCCCGTTTGCCGCGGATGCTCGTCTGGCTGCCACTTCTGTAACCTCGTGTTTCTCTGCTCGGAATGCCTTCCGCCGGCGGCCCACAACTGCATGGCTCCACGCGGGCAGGAGTGGGGAGAGGCAGAGGAGAAGAAGCGTGGGGCGGCGATCGCCGTGAGGGACTCTGAGCTGGCGCGCATGCGGGGGCATGTGGGGCAGAATGAACTTCAGCGGCGGGCTGCCGCGCGCCAACAGGCCGAGGCAATCCGCGTTGAAATGACGTGGATTCCCCG